GGTGAGCCGAGATCGCGCCATTGCACTCCAGCCTGGGTAACATGAGTGAAACTCCGTCTCAAAAAAATAAAATAAAATAAATAAATAAATAAATAAATAAATAAAGACATAAGACTCCTAGGTCACAAAGAACTTTATTACTTATGGTACAGTAAGCAGAGCATGATAATCCACATTTTTTTTCTTTTTTTTTTGAGATAGAGTCTCACTCTGTCACCCAGGCTGGAGTACAGTGGCATGATCTCAGCTCTCTGTAACCTCCACCTCCCAGGTTCAAGCAATTCTCATGCCTCAGCCTCTGAAGTTGCTGGAATTACAGGCACATACCACCACTCCCAGCTAATTTTTGTATTTTTAGTAGAGATGCGGGTTCACCATGTTGGCCAGGCTGATCTCGAACTCCTGACCTCAGGTGATCCACCTGCCTCACCCTCCCAAAGTGCTGGGATTACAGGCATGAGACACTGTGCCTGGCCTGATAATCCGCATTTTAAAAATCATTTCTTCCTTGTATCCAAGTCCCAGAAGAGTGACCAGGTTAGGCCCAGATGGATACCTGTACATACAGTAGGTTGTATTACAAGGGAGGAATCTTAAACTTAGGGAATGCAATCTTTTATAATGGGCAGTAAGCATGCCTTTACTCTAGGGGAAGACACTATCTTCCAAGGTTGTACACAAACTGAAACCTCTGCTCTGGAAGTTAAAAGGGAGGGTGAGACGGGGGAGAAAAAGACTTATATCTTCCAAGATTGTTCATTATACAAATATCCTCAAAAAGACAGTACAGGACACAAGAAGTCTGTGCCTTCCCTAGAAAGACATACAGAAATGCAAGTGATCTATGGAGAATTGCTTCTCAATTGGTATAAATTGTAGAAAAATGGAAAAATGCAAAGGCAATTTTGCTCTTTGTGCAGAAGCCACTCCAACTTGTGGAATACTCCATGATTTATAGACAAATATTAAGGAACTCTTGCAGATTTTTAAAACTCACCAAAAACAACTCTGCCAATCTTGACCCACTTCACCAACTTACAACACATTACTTTGGCAGTTAATCAAAGCACAGCTCCAATATCCTAAGTACCATTTACATTTTCAATTTTAATTTTCTCCTCAGCCTTTTTCCTTTTCTTTTAATTTGACTAACTTTACACATAAGCCCAGCTAATCTTCACTGCTGCATGTTAGCCAAAATAGAGTTCTTCCGATAAATCCTCAGGAGAGAGCCAGGGAAGCTTGCTTAAAGGAGAGATTTTAAAGTCATAAGGTCAAAACAGGTTCCTTTTTAGGCAATTCAGTTTGGCATGACTGCAACATGATTATCTTAGTAAGAACCTCCAAATTTTAAAACAAAAATATACTAAGTGCATCCTAATATCCCAAGATATAGGGCTAGCTGTTACATAAGGGAAGCTGACTTATCTTAACATTCATCTATTAAGCCCTATTTTGTTCCATTACCCAGGCTTCTTAAGAGACTGCCATTACAATTAAGCCTCCATCCCCCAAAGAGCCCTGTCTACAATGGCTTATAAAGGAAGGGATAAGAGCCAAATTCCAGGTTGGCCTCAGTTATGTCTAAATGTCAACTTGCTTATCCCACACAGTGAAACATATGAACATCCTAAGGCAGACCTCTTTTAAGGGAAAGGGGTCAGGTTCCCTAGCTTTTCACCCCAAAGGATAGACAGGAATGCGCTGGTCTCTATGATTCTATGACTAGATAGAATCACAGTATATTTATCATTCCATTACAATTCTTTGCACTCTAGACGTTATGTTTTCAAACCACTCTGTTTTAGAGAAGATCTTAATGTTTTAGTAAAGTACAAACACCATCAGTCTACTGTTATTGTCTCCATGTGTATGTTCTGGATTAAGGCACTTTTTTTTGTTTGGATTACAAACCACATTACTTGATAAATATCTGAGAAAAATGGGAGTGGGTAAGTTGGAAATGAAAGTAGACTTCACTTATTCTATGAATACAATGCCTCTAAGAACAAAGATTCTTCAAGTGTTTAGTTTTCTAAATAACTTTATAATGGAACAGAACCATAACCTAGCAGAAAGAGCCAAGGTTCTTATTTTGGTATAATTTATTCTCCTTTGGTCAAGCAGGTCAACAATAAGGTCATCAATTGTCTTGGCAACACCCACCTCCATTTCCACCACTGCAATGCATTAATGAGTTTATTTATGCCCTGCTTTATCTACAAAGAATTTTTTTCCTATTAGAACTATTAATATGAGCTTAGTTCCACTATGCTTTTTCAAGGGAGATTTATTAAAATGGGATGGAAAAGAAGGTCATTTCCAAAAAAAGTCACCTTCAGTTTTCAACAGAGAAACATTATGTTTTACTCCGTATCTCTTTGGATAAGCAACATTTGATAATATTTCCAACATAAGATGTCAGCAGTTCTTCTAACACCAAATGACTAAGAACTTTTATTCAAGAGCCAGAGTTGCTTATATTGGCATCTATATAACACAACCTCAACATCTAATTTCCTGGTGTTGAAAAAAAGTCAAATCCCTGCTTCTTTAATTTACGAGTATAAAACATATTACCTTAAAAGCTATTGCTGTGTCTCAAACTTTTAAAGCACAATTTTAACCCAATAAAATAAACACACCCACTACAATACCGCCTGTGATGTTAACACATACTCTACTTTCCCCTACGAAACTTGAAATAAGGTGTTTTTTTTTTTTTTTTAAACTTATAATTGCCATTCTTCTTAAATATGTAGGGAATCTCAATATTTGAGTGAGCTTTCTCAACAAGGAAATAGTGGCAATACTGACTTACCTCCCACAGCTTAAACTGTTTGAAAATGTTTTATTGCTTAATTCTTGTATTTAAAGAGTTAGTCACAAGGAAGTCAGCGGCAAGCTGGCCCAAAGCTGGGTCACCCTGGGCAGGAAGTGGCTGAGAAAATTGTAGCAGATTTTAAACTTTTTAAAATCTGCTGGCCACTTTGGCTAAACACAAAGACCACCTACTCCACTATTCCCTCCCAGCTATCACGGCAAAAAGTACTCACCAGAATGAACAGGAAGAAGGCACTTCTGATGAAATGCCACCAAGGTAACTATCTGGATTTTATGGATATTTAATATATGCCAGAAACAAAGTTACAGATTTTGTCATATTATAAACATTAAAGTGGGCCTGTCCACAGACCACCTAGCGTTCCTTCACAGATTATACTGTAAATCCAAACTACATAACTATCTGAAATGCAGGCAATTTGCTAGGTGATACTGTTGTTGTAAGCACACGAGGAATACAGTGGTAACACAGAAAACCAGGGCAATTCTGGAAATGATCTGCTTTAACTTACGCCAAAAGTAACAAGATCCTAATGCCAAAAAATAAAACTCTCTCAAAATAAGAGGGCTTGAGATTTCGAAGTAATCAGGTTTCTTTTTTTGTTTATGAGTACCAACTAAACAATTGTATATACTCTGAGCCGAGTGGCATTTCAGGAATGGGAAACTAAATTTCCTGATTAATATGAAAATAAGCCTCATAATAAGAATCATAGTTTAGAAGACCTCAATTAGTAGTAATATCAAATAATTTGAAATATATTTTAAAGTGTTAGATAATTTTTAAGAATAGTATGACTAAAATTAATATTGCAACTTTCCAGAACTATTTGGACTAATTTTTGTAACCACCCAAAAAAGGGGCTAAGCTAAAACTTTATATTCCAAATTGAGTCAGTGACAAAGTTTCAAATGCACCTCGCCATATAACCTCAAAACACTTTAAGGTGTTTTACAACAGAAATACTGAAAATAAATCATCCTTGAATACTTTTAGATTTCCCCCAGTGTACCACAAATCACATCCAGAAACCCAAACAAAATAATCACTGAAATGTTTGAGATATGCTGCTGAAATCCTGAGCTACAAGACAAGAAAAGGAGAGAGACCAAAGCAGATAGCCTGATGTCTCTTTGCTTGAGCAGCACTGGGCTTTTGGAGGTCCTAACCCATGCACATTAATACCTTGAGTCCATAAAAGTCAGCAGTAACACTAAAATAATAATAAATAATATAGACTCTGGTTAGAAAGAGAGGATCCATTTACTGCCACCCTGCTGAGGTACATTTGACCACCAAAGGCAAGAAAGCTATTAGCATCCTGAATTAATGGGTATAGTGGTTTTCAAACAAGATATTTTCATGATGGACACCATGTGGACTCAGCAAAGTTTCTCCTTCAAGAAAAATATAGCTTCTATTTCAAAGGGCACTGATTAGGCTTAATACCATTAGGGAACCATCAAGGATTTGTGTTGTTGTTACTGCTTTTAACTATCAGTTACTTTCTAAACCAAAAATTGTGGGTAGTTAACTTGACCAACAGTCAACAGTTAGGAATGCAGGAGCAAATCCAAGGTACAAAAGAGCTTCAAATGTAGACAGGCCTTAAGGAGTTTAGAATCTTTTTAGGTAGTTATGTCTTAGCCTTTCTTATCATCACAATTAGCATTATGACTTCCTTGTCTGGAATTTCTACAAAAAAATTTATTTCCCTCATCACATCCCCCCTGAAAACAACTAGATACAACACTATTTTAGAAATTCTCAATATGGTTTATTAGTGGCAATGTAAATCGATGACAATCAAAAACCAAATAAACGCATCTACCAAATGAATAAATTCTTAACTACTATTAACTGCTTATAATATATCCAGCAGATGTTTTAAAAGTCAACAGTATTAATTCCCTTGTAGATTAATTGTAAAAAAAATAACTGTTTTGAGTCCATCTCCATCAATACTTAAAAGTACAAATATACATTAAATAAGATTAAAAAGACTGTAAATCAGACAACAAAAAAGTCTACAAAACAAAGATAACTTTTAAAACATTGCTCAGTTTACTTTGTAGCTTTCTTATGTAAAATATTTTAAAGCAGTACATATTTTCTGGATCATACATGAAAGTTCACATCCAGATGTCTTTTCTATCAAATTCTTATGCTTTCTTCATTGTCAAAATCTTAATTTTCATTCCTGGCTGGATTTTTCTTCCTTGGCAATTCTTTTTGTCACCCCACTAAAATATTTCTCACGGAAGGAATTATGACCTTGGTATGGCAGAAAATGATCACTTAGCAGATGTGAATACTGGTCTTGATTCTGTTTGGTTGGAAAATACAAAATATAAAAACAATTTCTTTAGTTAGCTTGTCCCAAAGCTGTCATTTATTTTCTTAAGCAAAATCTCACTCTCTAGTGCATATTTATTTTCCTTCACTACTTGAATTAGAAATAGACCATCACTTTACCTTATCATGCTTGGATATCCAAAGTGTTTTCATTTACTTTACCTCAGGTAAGCCTCATAAAAGTCCTCTGCACAGAGGACACATTTCTTTTCTTTTTTTCTGTTTATTTTTTAAAATTCAGACAAGGCAAAGAGAATGGTTCCAGGTAACAGAGTCAAGGCTATAACTTTCTTCTGATTCCTAGTTCAGCACACACTGAAGTTACCTGTGCCTATGGATAAGAATTATTAAACAAGGAAGCTTCTACTCAAGAAAAAGTTGTGAACCGACAAAATAATGCGTTTGTGTGAGGTCATACATATACACAAAATTGTCTGGGGTATTTCCATATTCAGTTAATGAAATAATTCCTGGCAACTTTAAGTGAACACAGTGGATGAAGATACAGGCTAAACAAGAGATTTCCATACTTGCAGACTTCACAGACAAGTAAGGACTAGTGCTCAGACTGACATCTAATGGTAATAACCAACCTAGGTTAGAATGTCAAACATATTTTGGCTTCGAAAATTGTGGTTCCTGGCAGAAAACACTGAAATACTGGCTTTTCATCCAACTTCACTAACCATTCCAAGCTAAGAAAAATATCTAATTAGACATAAAATCTTATCTCCCAAATACTTCTATAAATTCATATTCAATTATACCTCGATTAATGTGATTTTGAGGAGTGGTGTAGAGACTTAAATGGAAAACATGAAGCATAATTTTTTATCCTGATTTCAGTATCAAAATTGTTGCTAAAAACATAAAAATATATCTGGAATATAACAATCCTCAAAATATTTTTGCACTTTTGCAAAAATATTTTTTGCCTGTGTAAAATGAGTGCCTTTATCTTTCCATCAGCTCTAGCATTAATAAAAATCCAGGTTTAGCCAAATAATGTTGGCGGATTTGTTTATTCAGAAACTATTTTTGCCACATGTATTTTTAAAATCACACCAAAACCCCAGATTATTAAAAATTAAACATGCCCAGATTTCCTGATTCACCAAAGATAAATAGGTGGCTAGTGAAATTTTATGGCACTAAGTATATTACAGTTCCAAATTCCTGCATGTACATGAAAACACGTCAAAGGTTACTATTAATAACTTTAGGCTACATACAATACAATCCCCAAAAAGATAAATTTTAGATAGTCAAGGTGTAGGTATACAACTAAAGACACCGAATGAAAGGTAACATTTGCTGAGTATTTTGTATAGACCAAAAACAATACTAAATGCTTTATATGTACTACCTAATAAAACTTGTCAGCTCTAAGAATTAAGTACATTACTATCACTATTTTACAGATGAGGAATTATTTAAGAGTACAGGTCCAAGATAATACAGTTGGTAAGTGGCAGAGCTAGGCTTTGAACACAGATTGGTTTGACTCTAGAGACTGTACCCTTAACTACAAGGTAATGAGGTTTTCTCCAAAAGAGCTATCTTTTTCCCCAACTCAAGGAGCAGGAGGAGCTCTGAGAATATAGGTGATAGACTAAGGCTATGACAGCTGAGCTGCCCACCAAGAAAGGAGTAGAAATGGGTAAGAGGTCTTACTAATGAAGGCCTATTAACTAAGGATATATTTCAATGGCACAGAGTTTTCATACCAAGAGGAGGTATACAGAGCCACAGGGAAGCTGAAGGATAACAAAACCCCGAAAGAACAGGTGACTTCACAGGTGGATTCAAGTCTGGTCCACGTATCAAGACTGTGCCAGGACAGCGGCAACACAGAACAATGTTTCAGCATTTAACGTCAACTACTTCATTTCAACTTTTATCAAAAGTCTAACTGAAGTCCATCAACTGCTCCTCCAGGTATTCGAAATTCTGTCCTTATGTCAATAAGATCACTAGAAAACTTGACCACTTCCTGGCTATGTTAGCTTAATCCTGGCAGAATGTTTTTCTTTGGTTCTATTTTAAAGCTACGTCCAGATGCTGTCATCTTTTCAGCTACTATGTTGATCCTCACAATTCTTGGCATCGCTCCCCATCCAGTCACCAAAATCAGAAACCTGGGTCAGATGTGTCTTCTCAGATTTGGTCAGTCCTAAAATCTTAGCTTATATACCCTGAATATCTCAAATCCACTTCTCTCTACTCATAATTCTAATATTTAATGTAGGCCTTCCTCAACCCCTCCTCTCTTTTCCCTAAATGGCCAGCTGCCCTGCCTTTAGTGGTTCCTTCTCCAGTGTATTCTCCATACTGAGACCAAGCCTAATTTATTAAAATGCAAATTTAATATGGCAACCACTTGTCTAAAATCCAAATGAGTTCAAATTTTCCATAATTCTCAGGCTTTTCCCTTGACATTTGGGACTTACATTCAATTACTTATCACTTTGCAGAATGACGTATCACTTTCTTCTGTACAGTAGGAGTCAGAATGCAGTCAGGCCATAAAGTAATTCCTTAGCTCTGCCCTCCTGTCCTCTTCCCTCCTCTTGGCCCCTCTAGGCCATGCAAGATCACCTACCCCTCAAACTGCACTGTGGATTAAGGAGGCTAAGGTGAGACAGAAACATGATTCCAGCAAACTGACCCGGGCTCAGTTACTAGCATGCCTAACTGACCTAATTTCTGGTTATGCAGCTCCCAAAAGGGAAGCAGAAGACAAGGCCCAAAGCATGATGGAAGATGGGCTCCCTCCAGGGACCAAAGGAAGGGCTTAATAAAATAGTTTGTTTTTGACCACAGGGATAGAAATAAGGCAAGTATTGGTCATAAAGTCAGAGAATATAAAGATTAGAGTCAGAGACTGGGAATGAACAGCAGAAGCCTGAAAACTCCACGAGTAATTATGAAAATGTATACTAATGATTACTGAAAAAACATTTACTACTTAAAACATACTTTACTGTAATAGTTTAGGCCCCTCAGAATAAAGTAAAGGCAAAGTAAGTCCTTAACAGACCGTGTGTTCTATTCAGTGCTATCGGGACACAGTGGCAAAGACATATATATGCTAATTGAGAAGTCAGGAAAGATCATTAACCTTAGAAATGCAACTCCTGGGGGGAAAATCCTATTTTCTTATTTCCCAGGTAGTAGGGCAGAATCAGTGTGAAGTGTATGTTTGAGTTCTGTGCTAAAATGTCCCCTTTCTAGAAGACCAAATGCCTCCGATTGCAAAACAGAACATTTATCATTTGTAACAGAAACTCTGGAAAACCCAAAAGCTCCAAATCCCTTACGCAGCCAGAGATCTGGCAGGCGCCAGTCTATTACCTAGCAGCACAAGTCCTGCTTCAGAGTAAGACATTCCAAGGACTTTGGCTACTATTTTCACTTAAGTGCAAAGGCCATGGTTCATAAAATGTTCTGACGAAACACTTGGTATGTCTGTGGTAAAACATGTATCATTACATATAATCATACATGTAAATACCACATACCTGGGAACAATACACATTTAACTAAAATACACCCAGACCATATGAAATATACTATAGTCTATGAAGCATTCAGAACTTATATTATCACCTTAATGCTGAAAAAAACAGCAAACTCATTTTTTGTTCTCTCTTTTCTCTCTACCTCTCTTTCATCCTATCTTTAGTTTGCCAGGGCTTACATTTGAGATGATGATATTCAACTCTACATATTTTTCATCACCTTTTCACGACTCTTCTCTATTCACATTCCCTGCGCATCTCAACCAGGAATATCTGCAAAATTTTTTTTCAGCACAGTATCTCAAAGGCCAAAGTGCTTACTTAAAAGGAGAAGAGTGTCCTCACCAAACACAACCTTTGGTCTCCCTCACTAGCTCAAGCTCGCCCCAGTGTTTGACTTTTGGTTTTGCTAACATTTCCAAATTCATCTACCACTATCCATCATGATATCATCTACAAATCACAAAACCCGAGTTCTGCCAATGTTTAGTAAGCAAAACCTACTTGGTGGAAAATAAAAACACACAGAGAATTAGGAAATGGCAAGAGAGAAGACTATGGTGATAAAACAACTACACTTTCCAAATTTCTTAACCATTGGTAGTAATTAAGAAGATATAAATAAAATATTAAGACTATTGATTATACTATTATCATTTTTTATAATCAGAAGAGTTTCTGTAGGTAAATTTGTGCTACCCGCAAATGGCTATATAAGGGATATAAAACAGCATACAGACCTATTCTTTATCTTTTTAAGACAATCAGCAATTGCAAACATCATAATATACAAGTTATGATTCAAAAAAGGAAGATATCTTTCCTACCAAATATGTGTTATTACATAATTATTTAATTTTCTGTATCTTTTTACAGAAGAGTATCATCTAAATTTTGCAGATAGGGACACAAGGGGGCCAAAGAGTTTAAATAATCTGCCACAATTCACACAGCTAGTAGGTAGCATTGCCAGAATTGTAGCCTAAATCAGACTTCAAAGCTCATGTTTTGCCCATTATAATTTTCTTTTTTTTCAGTAGAAATTACATCAAAACAATAGCTAAAGAGTTAATATCCCGCATGGCGGATTAGTGGGTCGTTCAAAATAGAGTTTGACATTTAGAGGACATTCCTCACTGAACGGCAACATTATGGTAGCACATATTTCAGATCTAAACTTTTAGGCAGGACTCCTTTAACCACTGTCCCACCCAGCCAATTTCCTGTCCTATCAGTACTGCTAATTCTAAACATAAACCACTCGAGGAATTTTAACACACTTGCCAAAGAAACCAAAGAAAGGCTTACAAATTGGTAGTTGACTTTTATGTGTACACTACCCTCTGCTGGTTGGAGCACAGCAGTCCTTCTTTACAGTATTTCCTGATGTGGACTGAAATAGTGTTATAGCATATTGGACCATACATCTGACAGGAGCACCCTGCTGTAA